TAATGGGCATGATAAAGTATGGTATCTTGTCAGATGTCTTAACTCAGCTATTCCGATAATTCAAATTTGTTTTCGTGTACTTGAATCACGATGAAATGGTATTCCAGTAGAGCTCATTTTGAAATTATTTTTTTGGATATTTATATTTCAAAGTCACAGGTGAATTTGACCTTTAAATGTTTCTTAATTCGTATTGAGGTATAATTTTTAAACCAAACCGTTGTTAACATAAATTTGATATATAAATCACGGACTACAAACTATTCTAACAAAATTTAAAAGTAGGAGAACGGCCCATTGGGACAGAAACAACGTCGTGAAGTAGTGGGTCTGATATTTGTCATCTAAACTGTATCAAAAGATAGATATCGTGTAAGCAATGTGAATAAGGTATGTACAATCTACTTTCAGGGTGAGTACTGTGGTAAATTGGTGAGAAAATTTGTAATTAGCGGTGTTTGTTTAAGTTGATTAATCTTTCGATTTAGTCAATGCATCAGATCTCCTAAACGGCGAGTGATCACTCAGAATTCATTAAGTCGTCCTAATTGTTTCTGATTTGATGAGATGTCAGACAGTCTCCCAATTTAATCTACTTTAATTAGAATAATTTAACATCCTTATTGTGCAAAATTGGTCTCAGTTGTAGTAGTGATTTAGAATCGCTAATTAAACTAACTTAAAGCCAGTTCAGTCTCTCTCTCACATTAGCCAACAAATTTAATAAGGGCACGAGAGAAAATTTCATTTTTTTTTAATTTAAAACTCCGGTTTAATTAATGGAATTTTTTCTCATGCTTAAGGATTAATATTTAACTTAATTAGCCTCTAAATTTATCACCACTTTCGTGCGTTATTGCACTTTCTAAAGTTTATTTCAAATCAAGTATTTTGCCGGCCTAAAATTTTGATTTTAGCTCCCTCTAAATCAGTTGCCCTTCACCATGAAAAAAATACGTGGCGTTGTTGTAGGGATTTGTGGAATTTAGGAGAAAAAATGCATCAGGTGAGGAAAGTTTTTTAGCCTCTCTCTCTCAGTCTCTTCTTTCTCCATTACAACGAACTTTTCTCGCAACACTTTGACCTAATTTATTTCTTGAGCATTTAACTAGCGCTCAATTTGACTAAAACCCCTAATTGACTATGCGTTACACACTTCTAGAGCAATGCTATCTCTGCACTCTTAATGTAAAATACCAATTAAAGCGAAGTGACCTCTTCCTGTAATACGCAACATCTTAAAAAAAATATATTTGGTGTAAAGTACAGTTTGCAACCTGGTGGTGAATTTTTTTGATAATTATTTTCAGTGTGTCTCGGTAGTGCTTCTTTAAACGTGTTTTTTATTTGCAAACTGGAGGTTGCGGGTTTAATGCCCGTCTGTGGACACCCAGTGTCCAACCCAATGTGTCCGACCCGAATTCGAATATCTCATGACACTACTGCTCCATGCAAGATGCGAGGAGATAATGTATAGAGCATAGTTATCAATTTAAGGCAGAAAATCGTACTAGGGCCCATCTGTCCGCAAAACTGTGCCAGCAAGTCCTTTTCCTCTTGGAGGGACAAACATAAATTTCAGATGTTAGTCTATTTATTTAATTAAACCAATTAATTTGAAATAAACCACCAGCATTTACACCTGTAAATTAAGTCACATTTCTTGTAGTTATATATTCAGTCTCAGTGTTTAATTTGGGGCTAAAGGCTTGCTTTGCAATAAGAATATGTAGAAAGAAGAGCATTGCTAGGCTTGTGATATGTATGATATTATCTTGGAGGGTATTATCTGCACAGAGTGAAGAGAATGCTTCTCTATGACAAAAACATCGATAAAAGCCTTTGCTTTATCAATTGGTTTAGAAATATTTAGTCTCCTTTGTATAAAAATGTCAAAATAGAATGCCTTTTCCAAGCCATAACAACTTTGCATCCCATAACAAGTACTCAACACATTTGTCCCTTACCGGCGACCATAATCCAACGCTAGTGAACACTTTCATTCATAAGTTTTATGCAAAATGCTATTTCATGTTAGAGAGAGAGAATTTATAATACTTGGCTTATGTGCTGAGAAAGTATCCTGAAAGCACCATAATGGTGTACTTGCACCATGTCACCTCTCTTTTATTGGGCAGCTATGTTCACTGCGGTTGATCACCTAGATCAGTGGGTGTGAATCAATCTCGTAACCTCAAAATTGACGGACATGACAGTTTTCCACGGCGCTACTAGTATACCTCATTTGAAAAATTTTTTCAACATTTGTATTCTGGAGCCCTTTTGATGAGTAGCAATTTTTGTGAACAGAAATTAACATTTCCAACACTGAATAAGAATCTATCCAATGATCTTGAGTCTGATAAATGTGAGAATAAATCGCTACACCTCTGGAATTGGGAGAATCTCTCCAAGTTGCTAGTTATCAAAATCTTTCCATTTAATGGATGTTTCCTTCTACATAACTTTTAAAACTTAGAATTTAGTTGTCTCAAACTTTGTAAATGAACATAATAAGGAAAACCTCTGGTGTAACTATTGAAGAGATTATTTTTCAAATATTTTTACCAGTTATCATATCTAGTTTCATTGTATTATAAAATTTGGTTTTCGTATCCAAGCTATGCACATGTTATTTCACTGCTTTGTGTTCTGGCGTTCAAAATTCAGGATCTGTACCGTGTAACCCAATTGAAGTGATATTCAGTGAATTGCCAATAGAATGTCAGAAGTTAATATAACATAAACAAAATAAAGTTCATTTATGGGGATGTACTCAATGGCTCTTTACAGACTTATTTCGCTTATTATAATCGTTTTTAAAATAATGCACACATTAATTCATAATTATTTATTTATTTCAAATGGTAGACGTTTTGATGGTTATCATTAGCCTTTGAGTTGACTTCTGGCTTCACAGAGGGGATGAACATCAAAGGCGCAGAAAGTGGAGAGGGGGGGGGGGTAAAAAAGAGTGATTCACAGATTTAAAAAGACAGACAGGCAGACAGACACAAAGTTTGAGAAAAGATATTGTGGAAGTGGTCAAATATGGCATACAGTGGGGTCATGGTAGTGTGGCTTTTATTGCCATGTGAGTACACGTTGCCCAGGGTGCACCACGTGGAGGTAAGTCTATCGTGTATCCCCCTCCCCTCCCTTATAATTATTAGTCTTAAGTGTTGCGTTAAATGGTGTCTTTTATCTTGCCCATTCATCCTTTTACCTTTAACTTATATGTTACTTTGATGATAAAATAGTTAAACGAGTTAGCTAATTTGGTTATCCTACTCTGAATATTGACTTTTCTCTCTATTCTCACTAGGGAATAAGCAATAAATCAGTATGATCTAATAAATGGCGAATATAATAAACAGCAGCCTTGTGGTACGCCATTCACCCCACACTTTCTTTTTCTCAGGCAAAAGCAAAGGTGAAGCTTTATCATACTATTATCAGATCAGTCGGCAAATATATGTCAACTTTCCTTATAAAATAAAATTGACTAAAAGAGGTAAATGGGAGAGTTGATGAGGCCAATATCTGAGCCTCTTACTGCTATTCCACATCTTTTAGGAAAGCATTTTATAATTTTATTTATGTGAAAGTCTCTGAAGTTGGTGCGTGGTAATTGAGTCTAATAAGGCATGAAATGAGAAGGACGCTAAAAAAATATGCTTTTATGATGCCAGGAGACTTACTCTATTTAGATTCTGAGCTAATTAATCTGAACACTTTATCATTGGAGTAAGAATGCCCTTTTAAGACGTCTCGATGTTATTTGTCTCCTACGTTCATGAATTAGACTATTTAGTGCTTGCTGACCGTTTTATTTACTTCTGCAGTTTGGTACTGTCATCTCGAGTTGCTTACACTCATTACTGCCGTAAGCACATAAATGAGACAGTCAACGATATGTTTTATATAGCCGAAATGAACTGATAATTTCTCAGAAGATGAAGAGGGGGTTGACGTGGAGCGAAAGCGTTATGACGAAATTCTGCATCCTTATAGTCAGGCAAAATTTCGGACTCCTGCATGGTGCAGATTGGTCGACCTTTGAATAAATGAGAAATGTAAAGTCAAGGTTAAATCAAATTTTACTATCAAATTCTTTATTGTTGAAATTTGGAATGATGAATGATAGGTGTATTTTGTAATATAGTTTAGTAGATCCAAATTTTAAAAAAATGTACTTCAGCAATTTTACCGTTTTGGTTAATGCCGATTATTCAATGTATTAAACTGTCATGCGAAGCATTGGTGGTGGCATTTCAATAAAAAGTTTCATTTTAGACTCCTTATTATTGAATGTTTTCACTGCCATTGAAACTCATACTATTATCCAAAATGTTTGCAATTGGAGAATATGAAAAAAGTCACTTATTCATTTTCCTCCAATTAAGATGGCTATTTGAGATAATGGTCAAAATTGTTCCCGCATGATTGTCCTGTTCTACACACGACTTCCTTATTTAACGATTTATATGTTCACGGCATCTTGAAATAAAAATTGGGTAAAATTGCTGATGGAGAATAGGGAATATAGCCGTTTTTATATAATATTGCATACGAAAGGATATTTCAAGTGGATTATGTGATCCACTAGCCCTTAGTGCCTAACCTCGTGACAAAATCTCCTTATGGGGGGGGGGGGGGTGGGNGGGGGGGGGGGGGGTGGGGGGAGGGGGGAGGAGCATGTCGACTTGAGCGCGATCGACTTCATCCCATCGTAAAACATATCCAGTTAGTCCAGCTAAACAGAATAGTGCAGCCTTAATTTAAACAAAACATGTCTTTTACGAGGCTTTCTGAGTCTATTTCGCTAAATTCACACTGCATTACGTACATCATTTTCCCACCAAATTAAAACTAATTTCCTACCAACCTCCTTTTTTTCAATTTTGTTCTCAAAATTAATTTTATTTTCCACAATATTTATTAACTTTACTCTTTTCCCCCTTCGGAAAAAGAATCGAGGGGGTCCGGGAGGCATTGACATGAATGTGCGTTCGGTGTGGGCTCGGGGTTATGCCGGGCAGGGTGTCGTGGTGACTATTCTAGATGACGGCCTGGAAACCGACCATCCTGATCTCAAACCCAACTACGTAAGTCCACTGCTTCTCTCGCTCTCTTTTTTTCACCATTTCTATATTATTTTTGAAGGCAAATGAAAAGGGGGGGGGGGGGGACAAACACACTGTTTATTCAACTTTACTAATGAAAGATGGTTTGATTAAATATTTGGTCTGAAGTTGAGGTGGAAGCTAGCTGAGTTAACTAAATTTGGCTAAGTCTTGGTATCATAGAGTCTTTTCTAGTTCCAAGGTTTTGGATGCATGGAATTCACTAAAGCGGTGGCGCACGTACAATCATTCAAATTTCACTATTTGTCACCTCAATTGCAGTGAATGGTTATTTTCTCCACACAACATTTTGTTTCACTATTTGGGTAGCCAAAGTATCTTTAGAGTTTTAGTAAAGCGGGGATGAGATAGGTAAAATGTTTTAACACTCAAGTTGTACTCGGTTGATTATTTACTTCAACTTGGAAGCTGGCTGTAACCACGAAATTGTGTCAATTCCTTCATTCTTCCTGTTGGTTGTCAGAGTCAGTTTAATTTTACTTATGGTTCTAGTGAAACATGGAAGGGAAATGCGTCGTTTGGATGAATCACTCATACTTTTTTGTCAAAAATTTAATGGCTTCCATTTAATTAAGTGATTTTCATTTCTAAATAGAAAAGAGGGTGTGTTTATGAAAGAGGGTCGGAATCTCGTTTTAATGTTTACATTAGGTCATTGCATAAAAGCTTTGTTTAAAAAACCATTATATCTACTTACTCTATTCCTTTAATGTCCGCACTGCGAAGATACCACCTTTAATTAAAAATTTCATAAATATATCCATTTTAATTATTCAATGAAAAATAATTTCGCTAGTGTATGAATTCAAATCCACAGGAAAGAGTTCAATTTTTACACCTTTATATTTTGGAAAGAAAAACTGATGAATTGAGGGAGATAGAACAGATTTCGAAGGTAAAGTCATTTTAACAGAATCCCCACTTATTTTATTTTGCATTCAATCTAAACAGTATTCCCAGAGATTCAACTTTCTTGTTTTGCCGACTGGAATACTAATTCAATTTTTGCCAGTGGTGTCTACCATAGATTGACCAGTTGCTCAGATATGCCGTTTAGTCTTGCCACATCACTAAACACTTCTTTATTTATATCGAATGGCAGGCGTTTTGATGGCTGTCATTAGCTCTTTAGTTGACTTTAGGCTCACAGAGGGGAAGGAACATCAGAGTGAAAAAAAGTCGAAAGGGGGAGCAGAAGAGAGATTCAAAGATGTAAAAAAGACAGACACAAAGGTAGGAAAAGGTGAGGTGAGTACTGTGAAGTAGTCGAATATGACATACAGCGGGGTGATGGCAGCTTGAAGACAGAAGTCAACTGTCGGTTTATAGACTTGTTTCCGTATGAGTATACGTTGCCCAGGGTGCACAACGTGGAGGTAAGTCTATCACACACCCCACATCACTAAACATATTTCCCTCTCAAGTCGAGAAATCATAAAAATGCTTTAAAATATTAAACGTTTCCACCGCTCGAGAGGCAAAAAAGCCAGTGTCTTTCATGTAGTCTAAATTTAGGACGCATCTAGTGTGGACAGAACCTATTTACATGCCTTATTTGGGGAGCTGACTAATTCCAATCACGAATGGGACAGTTCATCACATTTACACTAATGGTTCAACGATTAGTTATTTTCAAGAAATACTCTTTGATATGCCCCCAATTATTAGGTTGGCAACTAAGTCATTGCCGATTTCAAATAAGAAGGCAAATTCGGAATTTTTGTTTAAAATATAACTTTATTCAATTAGATATTGGTCGTTCTTGTCGATGACCTTTTTCCATCCTTCTGGCAGAGTAAAAATTCCGCGTTCGTAAAATGTCTGGTCTTTGCTATTAGAAAACTGAATTAGGTGTGATCCGACATCATCCGTGTTCCAATAATTTTTGCCGAGTAACCAAAGATGTGTGGGGCCTTGCATTATCATGATGGAAAAAAACACCCTTCAGATTTGATAATGCCGGCCGCTTATCTTCAATTGCATCCTTCAGTTTTTCGAGTTGTTCAACATACACAGTTGAATTTATCGTTTGGTTCTGCGGCATGAGTTCAAAATACAAAATTCCTTTGTGATCCCCCCACCACACTGACAGCATAATCTTTTTTTGGTGAATCTCTGCTGCTTTTAATACTGTTTGGGCTGGTTGATCTTGCTTCACCCATGATCTCTTGCGAGTAACATTGTTATAAACTATCCACTTTTCGTCGCCAGTAACTAGGTTCTTCACAAATGGATCATTCTCGTTACGTTTCAGTAGCGACGAATCACAGATGCT